ATTCTAGATTTGATTCCGGCTTGGGAATGAAGTTTAAGTTAAAATTCCTTTACAGCACTTATTTTATCAAATTTTAACCATCAAAAGCACTTTAATAACCCCAAAATATATTTCTACTTTAATCTCATCGCTACTTCAACTCCATCCACTTGAATTCTCATTTTCATTTATTACAATCATCTTGAATGTTTTTTTTTTTCATTTTCTTCTTCGTGAAACGCTGTCAAATCAATTGAACTTGAGAGCTTCGAGAATCGACAAGAAAATGAGTTTTCTGAGCTTTTTTTTTGTGTGTCATTTCCTTCTCATCGAATCTTTAACTTCCCACGCAATTTAATACTTCTTTTGTGTCGACTCCATCCTTTCCACTCAATTCAAAGCTTTTTTTTTTGGTATGTGTCGTGTGCGTAATTTTTTTTAATACTCGTCAAGCTTGAAAAACTTTTTTTTTCTTTATCAAAATTTGTGCAGCAGCCAAAGATTCTTTTACCACGAGGTCTTATTATTATCAACATGAGTGGGTGAAAATGTGTCGTTAACGGCGATAGAAGAAAAGATCAGCAAATTTACTGCCTGCCAGTTCAATGAGTTTTCCAATTTTCTCATTTTCTATTAGTGCTTTTTTTCTCTACAGACTTGTTAGGCTTCTTAACAATATGGATCTTTATTCTTCCTTCAAATGAGTTAAGAATAGGATTGGGAGTGTTTTGAGAAGAGTTTGAGATTCAGGTGCCTTCACACTTGTGTTTATCTTGATTGGGATTTTTGACACTAGAGTTCTTGCAGTTTAGGTTTTTAACACTAGTTTTTTAAGTTCAGGTGCCTTCACTCTAGACTTTTGAGGTTCATGTGTCTTTACACTAGATTTTGGTGAACTACGTGTCTTCACACTATCGTTCTTACAATACATGTGACTTCAGGTTAAAGTTTTAAAAGTTTAAGTGCCTTCACACTAGATTTTTTAAAACAGGTGCCTTTACACTAGTGGTTTGAATTAAGATTCCTTTACACTTGATGCTGAAAATTTTAAAAATCTGTAAATAAGCTAAAAATATCAACAATGAACAAGTTTTTTTTTTGTTTTCAATAAATTTTTTATTATATTCATCATTTTATTTATTATTTAAATCTCTAAATTTTTCATACAATTTATTATTTTGCTTAATTTTTGCTTATTTTTTTCTCAACCAATGAACATTTTTTTATATATTTATATATTTTTATTCTCTTAGTAACGTTTAATACATTTTGCTGTTGTTTTTTTGCATTGTTAATTTTTTTAAATTTATTTATGTTTATTTTTATTATAGTTATTTTTTAACTATTTTAATTTACACTGCAACATTTTTATTATAATTTTCATTAACTTTAAGAAGTGGTGCTGGAAATTAATTGTTTTTTCTTTTCAATTTTACATTTTTAAACTTTTTAAATCTTCAAGGGAAAAAAAAACCAAATCATTTTTGATCTTAATTTTTGTTACTATTTTCACATTTAAGCATGACTTTTTTAATTCTTAATTTTTTTTCAATAGGTTTTAATGCCGTATACATTTATTAAATTTATTTTAATTGCTATTTTATTTTATATAATGTACACGAACTACAACAAAAAACAATTTCATTTCTCTGTTGTTTAAAATTTTATTCCTTTTGGCACACATAATACGTAGCAGTTCAGCAAATTTTGCACAATTTCCTACTAATTTTGTTCAATTTTCTTTAATTTATTTGTTCTTTATTTTTTACAATAATTATTTTACATTTGAAATTTCTTTAAATTACCTATTTTTGAAAATATTTTGTTTTGAAATTTTAATATTCATAAACTTTTAAAATTTTATATAAATTTCAAAAATTACAAATTTTTATAACCAAATAAACTTTTAAAAATAATTTAAAATTGTTGATTTTTTTAAAAATAAAAACTTTAAATTTTGTTTTAATCGTTCACAAATTTTTTGTAATAATTCCAAATTGATCAACTCAAAATATTCAATGATTAATTAAAAAATTTCACAAAATTCATGCCATGAATGACCAACCCTAACAACAACTTTGTTCTGATCTTTTTTTATTTTCATTAAATTGTTACGGCTTGCGGGTGGCCAAAAAAATAATTTTTTACTGGCTTTGTGTGATTGTCAGCATTTATGTTGCTTGATTTGTCTTTGATGTGGTTGCATGTAGGCTCAATTAATGAACTAAATTGAATCCACACGAAATTTAAAGACCACATGCTAGATTGGTTGTTTTTATTAATTTTATTGTGTTTTCGCTGTGTTTTGGGTACTTTTTGGAGTTTTTAATTATTTAATCTTTTTTTAACAATGATTCATTTTTCATTCATCACAATTATTAAAATATTACATTTTTTTATAAAAACTAAAAATGTAATAATTCTAAAAACCAAAAAAAGTTTTGAATTCTGGCATTTTAAAAATCAAAAAAATTAGGAAAACCAAGTTTTAGGTTCAAACATTGACTTTTTTAAAATTATCTTTGTTAGTATTCAAACAATTTGTTGAAAGGGACTCAATGGATGGGGCTCAAATTAAATCCAGTCATTCATAGCAGGAATTTTTTTTATTAAAGTTTAAAACAAATTTGTATATTAATTTATTGCAAGGTGAAATTTATAAAAATTGAATTAAATATTTTTCCCATTTTTAAAACAGTTTATTTCCTTTTAAAAATTTAATTTAATTTTAAAAGTTTTATGTACAAAAATGATCAATTTTTTATTCACTTTAGTCTTTTTTATTTCGATTTTTATAGCTACAATAAATTCTTATTTGCTTGGAATATTTCAACTTTTTTTTCTTTTATTTACAGACAAAAAATTTCTTCTTTTTTCTTAAATTTCAATTCTCGCTTGCAAAGATTTAAACTTTATTTAAGTTTAAATTCAACCAAAAACAAATTTTTTTTCATTTAAATTTTCAAACAAAACATTATTTTTTTAAAAATAATCTTTTAGATTCTTACAATTTTACTGGTTTTGTGCAATTTTTTATTTTTTGATTTTTGTGTGATTTTTGGCTTTAAAAGCGTTTTAATAAATCTAAAATTCTCATTTTAAATTTGTTGCGTAGCTACATTTGTCATTTGTGACAAATTTTAATATTTTGTCATTTTTTGATTTGTTTTTCTTATGCTTTTATAATTAAATTAATAGCTTTTTTATTTTTTTATTATAAATTTCAACTTTTATGCTACATTTAGGTGTCATTTTCTTATCGAACAACTTACATTTTTTAAAACATTTATTCAACATTGAACAACTAACATTAAATATTAATATCACTTTTTTTAATATTTTTTATTTCAATTTTTGTGCAACTTTTTGATTTTTTTCTTAAAATCCTTTTCGTTCATTTTTTTGATTATTTTTTTTGAAGAGGAATAAAATTTTTTGTTTAAATATTTTAATATTTAAAAAAATGTTTCAACTTATTTTATCAAAAATTAATATCACTTTTGAAATTTCAAAACTATTTTTATATTAAAAACTTGTTTGGAAATTGAAAAAAAAAGAAATTTCAAAATTATGAATAATAAAAATTATTCTTTTTGAATCAAAACTAAAAATTCCAAAATCAAATTCATGCTTCTAGAAACTTCCTTGACTACGCTTCCTTCATTCAATCTCAACTCTTATCTTGCGACACACTTGCAACGATAATCAAGTTTGTCTTCATTTTCAAGCACTTCCAGGTACACAACAAACACTAAACATACTCAGCATGTAGAAAAAAAAGAAAATGCGAGAAAAAGCTCGCGCTATAAAAACAGCATTAAATGATTTAATCACTTTTTAAGCTTATCTCGCTTGATGATTAAATGAAGACGTCTTTTTTGCTTAGTTTTATCTTTATTTACCTTATTCCATCTATCACGCTCCGCATTTCTCATATCTTGATGTAGTTATCAACTACGTGAGCACATTAATGTTAAACATACAAATAAGGATGGAAAATGATCTACGGAGTGAGCAAAAGTCACACAAAATTGCTAATACTGCTAATAAAATTAAAATTATGCATGACTGCTTCTTGAAATGTCAATGAAGTTTGACTTCCTCATCAATTTTTAGTTTATTTTGTATCAGCAAGTATGATTTTTGAACTTTGTTGAATTCATTTGATGGGTGTGGATTATTAGAAGATGAAGAATTGAAGTTTGAATCATATTTGAATCAACTTTTGCCTGATTGAGCATTGGTCATTTTAAAAAAAGAATGAAGGCAAAGTATGAATGCTACTGGATGTCAAAAGTGCACAAGAGCATCCACGAAGTGAATAAAGGGTATCACCTTAGTTAACTAAGAGTTGACATCAGTTTTCGAACTATCCAAGGGGATAACAACTTGATGCGGAATAGTTTCCATCCAAGTTTTCCATCAATTTTCTCTAAAATCATACCAAACATCTTTATTACTTATCTTATTTCTATCATGATGTTCCCCCCTTTGAATCATCACACCACCCACCAACTCACAATCACATTAAGACTCTAAAATTTATGCAAATCTAATTTCCATTAACAACTTTATAGCACGTTATCTAGTTCATTTCAAACATCTCCTAGCACGCACATTTAAATGTTGAAAATCTCATTTTGATTTACTCGAATGTAAATAATTCAATATTCAGTGCACAACTGGGAGGCGTGAGTTTGGGGGTGGGTTGAGTGAAAATTTCAATTTATAACACCAGAAATCTAATTTTAAAACCCACTAAATTGTTATTGGCTTTTGGCTGTAGATTAATAATTTTTAAATAAATTTGACAGTCGTGCACCATATTTTTGAGAGACTTTAAACTATTTCTCAGAATATACCGCACACCACTTTTTTTTCTTCTATTAAAATCAAAAAAGAATCCCTCATTTTGGTCGAAAAGTATTCAAAAAGCCATCAAAAAGTCACACAACAATCGCCAATCGTTTCGATGCAGATTTAGTGCTACTTGATCATATAAAATTGTCTTTACCATTTTGCTATAAGATTTCGTTACAGTTATTTTCACTAATTTGATGCACTAAGTCGCCATTGTCAAGCTGTGTCGTTGCATTTGATGTGCCATTTACTGTTGCCGCAATAGCCATTGCTGTTTGGGTTGCTGGACATATTGAACTGTCAATTGTGAATGGATTTTTAGATTCAATTGTGCAATTCTCAATTGCTTTATGAACGACTGGAGGTGTCATGCTTTGGTCTACGTAAGGGATGCTATTAAGACAGCAAATGCTGTCACTGTGAGTTGTGAATGTCTCAGTTTGAGTCTCGGCGATTCGTGATTCACTGGTTGGTGATGTCTCGTCACCTGTTTGGGTTGATTTATTTGCGTACGTTATTGTGTGGTTCGCATTCAGACTGTTGTTGTTATTGTTATTATTCAGACTTGTATTTTCAGCTGTGGGAGAAAAAAAATATTTTAAGATTATTGTGATGATATGAATCTAGTGTCTAGGGTTATTATTTTTGGCTGGGAGCATGTTTTTTTACTTCTCAACCATCATTTTAACCTTATACTGCAGAGAGACTTAAGAAGCATTTTGATTTCACACTTTAACTCAATGAAATGCTACCTGCATATTAAACTCACCCAAAAAAAGTGTCGTGCGTCATATTTTCGAGAGACTTTAAACTATTTCCCAGAATATGCAGCACGATAATCCTCAACATTCTTCCATTCCATCTCTCCATTAACAAAGCATTTATTGTCTTATATCCCAACAACATCAACTCAATTCAAAGCCTCTCATCCAACATTCATCAAACTCAAAGTGTGAGAAAATGTGTCGCAATCAACTGTTACAACTTTTAACCACAAACAGCCTTCATCACTGTGGAATGTGAGAGTATTCATATGGGACTGTATGCTTTAACCATTTATTAAGGAAAACAAAAGCGTCACCTACTGACATTATTGATTCATATCACACAGGCAACATAATAGCATACTGTGAGAATCATGTGAGAATTTATAGTGAAAACTCATGCGAGAAGGCAGAATTGAGGAAATTCCTTTTTTTTTTGTACGTGCAAATGTGTAAATTATGAATGTTGGATTATTATGGCTTTTGTTATGTGAATCCTTCGAGTTTAGAGAAGAATTCAAATGTTAGTTATAGTTGAAGGTAGTTGAAGGCTCAAATAGGATTTTAAATTGAGGATTTTTAAGGGATTTTGTGGATTGAAGAAGATTAAATTAAGTTGCACAAGTTTACAGAAGTTTAAAAAATATTGTGCGTCATATTCAGGGGGATAGATTAAAGTCCCTCCCAAACAGCGCATGAATAGTTTTTTTTGATAGACTCTTTTTAAGCGATTCATTTTTAAATCTTATCTTGACCCCATCAACCCAACTTCATCCCTCTTCGACCCCAAATTAATCAAAATAACTTACCAGAATACTGAACAGCTTTTGGATCGACAATCGACATGTGTCGTTGGATTTTCTCCTTTTGATTACATGTTGTAACGGTAACCATAACTGTGGACATCATTGATGTTGATCCCGTTGTCGGTGGCTTACTTAATCCTTTAACTCGATTTGCTGTCATCATACTTTGTCTGACATTACGTTCGGGCCTTACGAGGATTATGTAGAGCTGTTGATTGCAGATGAAAAGAGAGACAAATGTGATAAATATTTTGATTTATTGAATAAGAGGCAAAAATTTATTACCTTTGGCGTAAAAAGACATGCCATTGTTACGCTCGCCGAGAGACTTATCGTCACCGACATTGATGTAATTCTTAATGGCACATGATTAGCTGTTGCAAAATAAAGTGGCACAAATGCCAGCCAAATGACACATGTCGTATACATTGTAAATCCTATGTGCTTTGACTCGTTAAATGCTTCAGGAATTTTCCTCGTCAATACAGCATACACCGTGCATATGACGATAAGTAGGATTGGAAAGAAGAAGGCAATCATGTATGAGGCATCGACGTGTGAATCGCACACAAGATGATTATCCTCACGCGTTGGATAGTGATATTTTGCATGAGTCGGTGCTATAAGGATCCATATCACATTTATGAGAGCCTGCGGTTGATGGTTGATGATGATTTTGATGTGAGGATAGATGGAAGGTAAGGATGAAAGAAAAAATGTGAGATTAACAGTTTTTAAAACGAATTTTGAAAAAAATGAAAGAGTTGATAAGGTTTAGTGCAAAAATGCGCTTTACGTCAATGCGACTTAAAATTTTCTTACTTGTTACAACTTTGACTAGCTAAGAAAATGAACTTAAAAACAATGCAACTTTCTGCATCAAAATTTTTGACTAGTTTTAATATTTTCTTAACAAATTATAAAAAATTCAATTTTCCCTCGCCCTATAGGGTTCAGTCCTCAATTTTGAGATGTTCCATTTTTTAACTTGATAAACAGATTCTAAGCATGAATTTTTATTGTAACAACATAAAGTTCGTCTATCTAGCTTACCTATAAGAGGTAACACCATATAGGTTCATCCAAAAAAATCATAAACTTCCTACCTATGGACCCAACCCTACAATTCAAGCTCACCTGTATGGAGATCAGGAAACTACAAATTATAAGTTGTGATCTCGGCGAGATAAATGATGGCCTCTTTGCTGTCTGCTTGCCAGCTTTAAAAATCCTCGCTATTCGATTTGTCTTTGTGAGCAGTGCTGCATAGACAACAGTAAAGCAAAAGCCAGCACCAAAACTGAAAAGAAAAAAAATTGTAAATTGAAAAAAAAAGTTATTTTTGTGTTGAGGAAAATTGAAAAACTTTTTCCACTTCATTTTCATGAACTTTTTTTGAATAGCTTTTTGTTGTATTTTGAATTGGATTAGGATAAGTAAATTCATTTGTATGCGACGAGCGAATTTGGACGTTAATTCTCGTTTCTTCATTCCTTTCTTGTGGTGTCTTCTTCGATGTTAGAAAGGCACAAGAATTTGAAAATGTGAGAATATTTTGTGATGGGAACGACGAGAGTTTATTTTTTGAATATAAATAGAATGTGGATTAAATAGCTTGTATTGAAAATTTGGGAGGATTTTGATGGATTATTTACGGATATAACTTTGAAAGTTTTTTGTTTGTTGTGTAAATGAATGCAGGTGGTGGGAATTAAGGCGGACAATGTGATATTGTGATTTTTTTACTGTTAATATTTTGATGTAATTTAAATGAAATTCAGATTTACTGATTTAATTTTTTTATTTTTTGAAATCCGCCATTTTGTTTTTTCATTTTTATTAGCAGACACTTGTTTCTCATGTATACTTGAATGCAGTGGTGGTCAACCTATGTGTTTTGACACACCAATTCGCTTTAGAGAGTTACCCTATTTTTCTGCCCTAGCTAAAGTGTGCTGTGAGTCAAAAAGGTTGACCATTACTGCATTAACCATATAATCTCATCTATTAAGCTTAAAGCTTTGGGTTAACATGACAATCCTGCTTCGAGGTATTTGATGTCTTTGGCGTAGAATATGCCTCCTTTGCTAGGTATACAAGGATATACAGAGCCTAACCATAAACTTTCAAACGCTAACGATGAAAACTGATTTCTTAAAAAACTTTTCACTCAGTTCAAAAGCCCTGCTACTTCCAAAAAGACAGCCTTACCTACATAAGCTCAAATAACTTCTAAAATATCCAATCATCTTGAAATAACAAGAAATCGAAAGGGGTCGTTCACCTATGACGTCTAAAATTAATGGTCATTTTTTTTCAAAAAAGAACAATGAAATTCCAGAAAGTTCTAGAAGTTGAAAAAGATCACGTGGACGTCCCAAGAACTCTTGGAGAGAAGCTCTTGACAGAGACATTATTACACTTGGTATTGGTAATTTGCTAATGGTAGCCTGTGATAGAGCTAGATTCAGTCGCCATCTAAGAGAGGCCATGAATCAAATTGATCTGTATGGCCAGAGAATAAGTAAGTAAGTAAGTGTATTGCTTTTCTTGCTGATCCCTCCGTCCCCACCTGGACGTCATAAGTGAACGGCCCCTAAAGCAAGTCCTCAAAAATGATTCACGATGCAAAAATGTTTTCATTCCATTAAAATGAAGCCAAGATGGAGAAACTGAGCAGTTGTAATATTTCTCCGTGACTGGATAAACATTTTTGATGGTGTCTCCTTTGTTTGGACAAGGACTAAGGCTTTGTTTGTGTTTGATATGCATTATCAGGATATTGTTATTGATGGGATGGCGAATTCGATCGACTCTCATTAAAGTTGTTTTCAAGCTTTAATTTCCAAATTTATAGGAAAATTAATAATCAATAACAATTTGTTCACCTCTAATTAATTTTTCCGCCTCATTTTCCACCTTTTTTAATGCTCAACTTTTTTTATTCCATTTTCCTCTCAATTAATTCATTATTAAAGTTCTCATTTAAGCCATTAGGAAATCAGACAAAAGAAACATTAATCATCGTCGATTTAATAATTAATTAGTCTGGCAGTTCTCACGACTCACTTCCTTGTGAATGACACGTGAATGCTGAATGGATAAATGAGTGACTGAGTTTAATTGTTTGCATTGTGGATTAATTTGAACCTTATTGAAAATATGAACAGTAATTGATTAATGGATAATTTGTTGTGGAATTTAATTGATTTTTCTAACGTTTGTTTTGAATTTTGAAAAGCCGTTAAGAGCTGATTATTAAAACCAAGGGTGCGAAAGGGGTCGTTCACATATGACGTCCCAAATTAACGGTCATTTTTCAAAAAAGAACAATGAATTTCCAGGAATTTCAATTGTTTTTTTTTGCTGACCCCCCTTCTCCCCCCCCCCCCCCCCCCCCTTGCCCTGAACGTCATTGGTGAACGGCCCAAAACTGATAAGTTTTATAAATCCTTTATAAAAACCGTGTATAAAAAATTTAATTTTGAAAGCATTTAGAAAAGTTTAAATTTAAAAAGTCGGTGAAATTTTGAATTTCCAAACAAATTTAAATTTCATGCTCCGGACATTTCAGTGTCGAACTTTTTCGACATGTTTAAATTTAGTCGACTAGCGTTTGAATATTTTAAAATCGTTAAAAATCTGTCAATTTTAAGATTTTAAGCATTAATTTTTAAATTCCTGTATTTTTCTGGGATGATTTTAGCTTAAACTAGCTAAACACGAAGCTGAGAATAAGAATCGTTTGCCCGAGCCTTGTTTTTGCCAGTGTTTTTAAGAAAAATTCATGAAAATTTAACGGTTTTTTGAAAATTTGAGAAGGAATTTGAGCTAAATTGAAGTAAATTCAGCAGAATCTCAACAGAATCAAATAAAAATCCAATTGATTAAGCATATCTAGAGCCTACCCCCCCACTTCCCACAAAGAAACAACTTATATCCTTATACCAATACATAAAATGTAACATAAATAGCATAAATGTACTCTCATGTGTATTAAGTACAGTTTGTAACATAAATTATCTCTCCGTACACACTCAAATGTCTTCTTTCTCTTCTAATTCAATATTCGCATTATTTTTTTCTGTTCCTTTCCTTTCTAGCTGCTGATACCGCTGCGAAAACATTCAATATATATTTAATATAAATATTCCATGGCGCAGTTACATGCCAGTCATGTACTTTTTTCATCGTTATCATTAGCATTAACATTCAGTGTAGTCAGTCGAGAAGAATGAATATGATAACAAGGTTCAAGATTCTTTCTGTGTATTTTTTTGGGTACGACTTTCGAAATTATTCCGAGAACTTTTAGGCATGATTTAAAATTTATAGGAAAAAAAAGATTTTTTTTTTCGGTAAAGGCTTTAAGGATTTTATGATGATTAAGGTAGATAGGTTTAATATGTCTGTATTGAAGTCATTGCCTTGTGGGAATTTTATCAGATTTTATAAGCTAGTTTGATTTATTATTGTATAGTCTAACCCTAGATCACTTTAGTGGTTCAAACATGACCTGAAAAGTTATTCTGGGATTAACCTCGTGGGGTTGGCCATCACTGCTTTAGGATATTGTATATGTTATAGCTCAGGATAAATCCGATGGTATGTTGTAGGGTATTACTAGGGTGACCATCTAATTTTTATGAAAATACAGGACATTTGATAAATTTCCTACAAAATACAGGACACAAAGGAAAATTTGAAAATTAACGGAAATTTTCGTGACAAAAATACAGGACCTAGAACAAAATTTTCAAATTTATACAGGACAGGGTTTTGAAATACAGGACTGTCCGTTGTAAAACTACGCAGATGGTCACCCTACCGTATTATCCAAAAATCAAAAAAGCAATATACATAATTAGCGGTGAAATGGCATCAAAGGCTTACGTGGTAGAACGTTGGCCTTGCGTCCCAAATGCTCTGGGTTCAATTCCAGGTCAAATCAAGTTTTAGAAGCTCTTTTTTGCATTTCACCGTTCTAGTTACGAAACTCGGATCGTATGTTAAGTGTAGTTTTGAAGTCTTCGGCTTCATATAGTGTCTCCTTTGCTAGGTAACTTAGGATATACTAGCATTTGGATGATTTCATCACAGCATCTTGCGCAAATATTTTATAAATAAGCATTTATGTATCTTCGTTTAATTTAAGTTTTATCTGCCCGATAGGGCCAATAAATATATTCAATTCAAACGAACTGTGACTAGGTACATTGCAGGGTACATCATCTCTTTAAACTTACTAGTGTCTTTGCAATGTGCAAAACGTGCAAATGGTACAGATTCCACTATAAACTGTAGGTCTAAAGGGTGTGGTACAATAGATTCTGTTCTTATTTGAATCGCAGTGCCTCAATCTCAAAAGGCTGAGCCCTTCCCATGCTTTACCTTTTAAATATTCATAATGTATTCGTAGGATTCCTCCTAAAACCATATGCCTTTGCTAAACCTAAACAGCACTCATACTTCTGAGCTATAGAAAATCTTCAATTCAGCACGAAATCATCACAATCATCAGATAGCTCTCAAAAGGAAATTCCAAAACAAACAAAAACGAAGAAAAAGTGAAAGTAAATAAAGAAATCAGATAAACAATTTGGAAAAGGTAAAAGTATGAAAAATTCAGCTACAAATCGTTTTACCCCAAAAAAAGAGAGACTTTTCAAAAGGAAAAAAAAAGTTTGTAAATATTTTGATAAAATGAGATTCAGAGCTTGATAAAAAAAATATGTTAAATTTTTAAAAATAGATGAAAATTCACCAGGTGTAAGGAGAAAGCCTGAATTTTTTTGATATTTTATGTCACAAAATAAAGAAGAAAGTTGTTTTTGGTAATTGAAAAGTTTAGGTAAATGTTTATTTTTGGATTATTTAATTCTCACTGATATCGACTAGCACAATCAAACAAACAAATCTAACAAGTCACAGAATTTCCATAACAAACTCACAGCTCAGCATTATCGATCAACAAAATCAATTGTCATTGAAATTGCCATGAAAATTGTGCCGCCAATCAATAAATTCCATTATTATTTGATGCTCACATAGGAATTGATGACAACATGCATTGATACGATGATGATGATATTCAATCAAATTTCACATGTGAATGTTTATTTACTGATATGTCGATGTGATATTATTCATTACGTAAGATGAGATCTGATTTATTTGTGATAAGGATGTAATAACCCTTAGATGGGATTTTGCTAGAAATGCTGAATTTAGTGATTTTAAACTTTGTTGAATTCGGTGACACTAAACTATAATCAATTCAGTGTTTTGCCGACTGTCAAT